GGGACTTAATAAAGGCCCAGTTAGAAAACAAAGGTCTCACAACCGTAAACTGCTCAACTCTGCCCTTGAAGGAAAGCAGTCATAGATGATAGAAGAGCAAGAAAACTTAGTTATTTTCCAGTAAACTTTACTTCCAAAAGCAGACTGGCTAAGGCTGGCCCAAAGCCAGTCAGCCAACCTCTGTCCTGTACCACTTGGGGTCTTCCTCACCTTACATAAGGTTAAGAACATTGGGAAACTCAGTAAAACTTTAATGAATGATGTGGGCATGCTGTCCTCATTTGATATCGCAGTGTTATTTATAATGTATGACATGCTAAAAAATTATAGTCTAAATGGCCAGTGGTAAGGATATCAATAGGAAAACCATGGCAAATCCAAATAATACAATATGGCACTGGCACTTAAGATGTTTTTGGATATTATTGACAATATGCACATGCTTTTGATATAATTATAACTTAAAAATAGAATAAAAATAATACATGTAAGATATAAATAGAGTTATAAATAGACAGAGATGTTGGGCACGGTGGTATACACCTGTGATTTCAACAGTCAGGCTGTTAAGGCAGTATGATTGTGACTTGGAGGCCAGCCTGGGCTACATAGTGAGACCCTGTCTGAAAAACTGAATTGAAATAAGAGCCTAAGAGGGATGGAAAACTGCTAGATGTATCAACACATTTGAGCATATACAGTTAAAGGTGGCTTTTATTTTCCTCGGAGATAGGTTGCAAAACTGAGGTACTTCTCTTCTCATGCCTGAAAATTACTGGTAGGATCTCAGCATTTCCATTTGCTGATGATCTAGCATTCATAAAGCCCTGGGTTCAAGCCCCAGGACCGAATGAAAAAAAAAAAAAAGAATGAGACAGTTGGTTGCACTCATTTACTAAAGCAGTTCTTAGCAGGTTCTCTATGGTCAGACTCAGTGTCGCTCTGCTTCTATCCATTTCTAAATGGGCTGTGTATTATTTTTGTAAAAAAAAAAAATAGACCCAACCAGGCAGTGGTGGCACACGCCTTTAATCCCAGCACTTGGGAGGCAGAGCCAGGTGGATCTCTGTGAGTTCGAGGCCAGCCTGGGCTACAGAGAGAGATCCAGGAAAGGTGCAAAGCTACACAGAGAAACCCTGTCTCGAAAAACCAAAGAAAAAAAGAAAAAAATAGACCCAAGGTCTCAAATATGGCCCCACCATCCACAGTATTTATGCGAGGTGAAAAGTTTTACTTATGCCGAAGACTGTTTAGCTGTGCTAAATGAAGCAAGTAAGCACATCCAGCGGGGTTCCTGCTGAGCTTTTATTTCTAAGGCAAGGAGGTTCTGTGCCTTACTGAGTGGTCAGAGCTTGGCCTCACACTCTGCCGAGACTGCCCAATACAGAGGTGCAGCGTCCAGAGAGGAATGAACTGAGAATTTATTTTGATTTCAGGAAGTGCTGACCCTGGAAGAATTTGAATTTTTGCCAGGTCGCTTCTTTATAATTTTGTCTTAAGAATGGAATTTGGTGTTATTTAACCCTCATCTGAAACTGTTTAAAGAATCACATTTTGAAACAGTCCGCAATTGTCCCCTTCACCTCGGGAAGCATTGGGCAGATAGGACAGCAGAAGCTCACTTAGTCACTTCCTGGAAACTTGTGATAATTGGGGATAAAGCAAAACCATTTGTGACTGGAAGACAGCAAGTAATCATTAATGGATAAATGTTCTAGAAACTGACTTATGAAGTGTTTGGGCTCTTGTCAGGAAGTGCATAGTATATGAGACTCTGCCAGGGGCTCTCTGATAAGATTTCTAATAGCTAAATGTATACTACCGTCACCAACACTCCCATTTTATAGACCGGAAAACTGAGGCTCATAGCTCCTTAGAACATTGTCCAAACTTTGTGTATCCAGAAATAATGGAGATAGGTTGCAAAACTGAGGTACTTCTCTTCTCATGCCTGAAAATTACTGGTAGGATCTCAGCATTTCCATTTGCTGATGCTCTAGCATTCATAAAGCCCTGGGTTCAAGCCCCAGGACCGAATGAAAAAAAAAAAAAGAATGAGACAGTTGGTTGCACTCATTCACTAAAGCAGTTCTTAGCAGGTTCTCTATGGTCAGACTCAGTGTCGCTCTGCTTCTATCCATTTCTAAATGGGCTGTGTTTCCTGTAAGATGGCCTTACTTGCAGATACTTCACTAGCTTAGACAAGAAACCCACTCGCCTTCCTCTTAGGGGTTCCCCTCTTTGCCTAACTCTCATCTGAATTACTGAGCTTGTATCTTACTGCAAAGCGGTGTGATGGTTGCCTGGGGAGTGCTGACCTTGGAGGGCTTCCTGTAGAAGGTACTTTCTGTCCCTAAGGACTGTGGATAGTCCTTCTGTCTTCCTCTTGAGCATCACCGGTTGCTTTCAGATTCGTCCAACGTGCCTACTCAGCCCTCACCCTTATGTCATTTTTCCTGATTGCTTCCTTCTAGAATCTTCCAGTGGTTAAGCTCTCATGACTCAGACTTCATAACTTGGTAACATTCTCATCTCAGCAGGTCCCACCAATGTCCATAACTAACACTGTCCGGGCTAGTTTTATGTCAACTTGACCCAAGCTAAAGTCATCTGAAAGGAAGGGACCTCAACTGAGAAAATGCCTCCATAAGGTCCGGCTATAGGGCATTTTCTTAATTAGTGACCAATGTGAGAGGACCCAGCCCATTGTGGGTGGAGCCATCCCCAGGCTAATGGTCCTGGGTTCTGTAAGAGAGCAGGCTGAGAAAGCCATGGGGAGCAAGCCAGTGAGCAGCACTCCTCCAGGGCCTCCACGTCAGCTCCTGCCTCCAGGTTCATGCTCTGTTTCTAGTTCTTGTCCTGACTTCCTTCAATGATGGACTACAATGTGGAAATGTAAGCCAATAACCTTTTCTCCTCAACTTGGTTTTGGTTTTTGATTGTGGTGTTTCATTGCAACAATAGAAACCCTAACTATGCACACCTTTAATCCCAGCACTCAGAGGAAGAGGCAGGTGGATCTCTGAGTTGGAGGCCAGCCTGTTCTACAAAGTGAGTTCTAGGACAGCAAAAACTGTTACACAGAGAAACCCTGTCTCAAAAAACAAACAAAAAAATAGAAAAAAAAAAGAAAAAGAAAGGAAGGAAGGAAGGAAGAAAAAAAGAAACGAAGAAAGAAAGAAGAAAAAAAGAGAAACCCTAACTAAGATAAGTTAGTACCAGGATAGTGGACAGACCTAACCAGGTTGTCTGGGGTACAACTGTGGAAGGACTTTGGAACTTTGGGCTGGAAAAGCCATTGAGTGTTGAGAGCTCAGTGAGCTCTTCTGAAGGAGCCTGGAAGGTAAGAATATTGCAAACAGTGCAGATGATGGAGGCCTGGCTTGTGAAGTTTCCTAAGGAAGCAAAGACTCTACTGGGTCATTTGAGTGAAGAATCTGTGGTGTCTGGTCAGCTGGAGCTGAAGAATTGGCTGTCATTAACAAGAGACTACAGCCACTAAAGCAAAAACCTTTTCTTTACTGGGACAGTAGATGCTTATTAGCCAGAGAAGGCAGCGATGATCAAGAAGAGACCATCATTGAGGTGAAATCTTCTGGAAAGTGTTTCCTGAACGTCACACACAAAAGCTGTGTTCCAGAGGCAGCCAAGGTTGTGCCTCACGCTGGCCACTGAACTTGGTAGTAGAAGAGTCACCCAGGTGGTACTGGTTTTGAAGGCATGAAGGGGTCATGGAGAACACACAATAGAAACTCTAAGACAAACACCTACTCACATGCTGCCCTACTCCTGTGATCTAATGAACGATTTTCTTCCTAATACTTTATACTATATCCACATTATTCATTTCTAAATGCATGTTTCTATGGCCCCTCAAGAGTATCAGTTCTCTGTGGCCAGAACTCCTGACTACGTTTATCACTACAGTTCCTGTTCTTGATTCCAACAAAATCCTCACAGAAGAGTTGTTGAGTAAATTACACTCATTGTCTTCCCAGTAACTCATGAATCAGGTGCTGGTCAACACTCCAGGCAACTCAGACTCTGGGAAGCTAAATGATTTGCCCAAGTCCCACAGCTAAAACTTGGGGAGTGCAGAAGGGTCTGTTGTTTATCTGTATTATTTAAAGACCTCCTACTGAATTTGTTGGTGAAGGGAAGATTCTCTTCCTAGGCCTTAGGAACAGTGGGATACCGACTCTTGATAACAGACAGACGACAAGGGTGGATTATTTGTCACAAGCACTCAAAGGGAGGAAGGACTCACTGCCTGCGATAGTTGACATCCACCACCAACTTGACTGAGTTTGGAATCACCTAGGAGACACAGTTCTCTGTGTGTCTCTAAGGAAATCCCAGAGTAGCTTATCTAAGGTCCCTCCTTGAATGTGGGTAAAACCATCCCATGAGCAAGGGTCTCAGACTGAATAAAAGCTCAGAAAGGTTAAATAGAACCCAGCACTGTCCTTCATCTGCTTCCTCCCTGCAGACACAATGTGACCAGTCTTCTCATGTTCTTACCAATGTGCCTTCCCCGCCATGATGAGCCGGACCACCAAGCCTTTCCTTGAGCCTCTTCCTAGGTACTTGTCACAGCACCAGGAATTGATGCATTGACCTGTGCCAGTTTCTTAAGGACTGCACTCTGAAACAGTGAGCTATGAAATTCACAGCATGAGGACATGGTGGTGCCCTTGTTTGAATAATTCTGCAGACTAACAAGAAAGGGAAACTCACAAGTCAGGGACAAGCCAGAATTCCACTTGGTTCATTTCATGAGAAAGTTGCTAAGGGGACCTTATCTGTAGTAGAAACATGGTGGAAAGGGGAACCTGTGGTTAGGCCATTTGAGGCCCTTTCTATTTCACCAGAAACCACAAGACACACTGCATTGGGGCTTAATTTTAGGCCTCACCTCACTTGTTAAACGCTATTGAATAGAGAGCATAGAAACCAGTAGCCCGAGACTCAGTAGGCAAGTTGACTGAGGTGACCTGAAATGAAAAAGGTTAGCCAGCATCCTCAGAACGAAGAGCCTGCCTCTTTCCAAACTACTTGGCAATCCTCAGGAGAGACCTTCTCATTCCAAGGTATTGCAAGGCTGACAGGGCCAACTTGTCTAGGAAGAGCCTCAAGGGCAGTATTTTAGGGCATTCAAGCTCATGAGGAAAATGAATGTTGGCAGCCCAGTGTCCTGGAGTCACTTCCACACCTCCCCACAAAGCCAGTGTGTTTTGCTAGTGTGATTTTAAATGCCCATAAAAATCAAGCTATGATGGGCAGAATATAATATCTTCTTGGAAGGGGGCCCTGTTTGGAGCAAAGAGCATTGAGACAATGTTCCAACTAGAGGTAACTGACCCTGGAGTCCTCCAAGATCATGCAGTCCCGGATAACAACTTGGCTGCAGAGTTCATTGAAGATGGTGTGCTCCCATCTTTCATTCCAATACTCAGGAAACCAAGCCAGGAGGATTGATGAAGCTGCAGAGTGACATTCTTTCTCAAAAACAACAACAAAATCCCAGTACGCTTGGCCTTTAACATTGAAGTTGCAATATTGGTGTCTTTATTTAGATGTGTGGTTGTTGTGCTGAACATTAATGTATTCCATTTTCCTTGGTACACGTGTATGGTCATTGGTATTTCTTAATCTCCACGTTCTCGAGGTTGAATGTTTTCTGTTCTCTTACCTGTCCCCAAAGGAGAGAGGTAGTGATCTCAGAGCTGCCTGGTTGGGAAGGTATATGGATCCACTCCCCATCCCCCATCTCTCAGAAAGCATCTCCTGCAATACCCTTCCCCTCCCTAACATGTTTGTACCTCACTGCCACATGCCGGAGCTCCTTTTACCGCTGGCCCCTCCTCCCTTCACAACCGCCCTGTGGAACATGCACAGGCTGGTTCATCACAGTTCCTTCATGGCCTCGGTCTTCTCCTGTTTGCTCTTGTCATTGTGCCTTCTCTCTACTTCCCCTCCACACTGTCTTCCTTAGCTGGCTCGTCTACCCTCACATAGAACCCTGCTCTTCCTCTTCTGTCCTCCTCCATGCTTGAGGGCTCTCTGAGCCTGAGAAGAGGGCAGAGCAGACTGCAGCACCAACTGAGAGGACCACACGTGTCCATTTCCTAGTTGTTTTAAAATCCCACCCTTCAATTTCATGCCCTTCACCTAGGTCCAGGCCAGCACTGACAGCCCGTGAGCAGCCTTTGCAACTGGCCCCACCCCATCTCTTCCACCCAGTCTAATCAGGGGATAGGGGGTATCCTGGCCTTGAGGTCCCTGATGGTTCATTTTGATTGTCACCTTGAGTGAATTGAGAAGAGCCTAAGAGACTGGAAAAGCATATATCTGGATGTGTCTCTGAGGGTGTTTCCTGGATGGATTAGCTAAAGAAGGAAGAACATGGGCACAACATCCTACAGGCTAGGGTTCTGTATGGAATAGAAGGGGGAGGGTGAAAGAGCTGGCCAGGCAGTCAGTTTTTCTCTCTGGTCACCATGGTGTGAGATGTTCCGTTTGGATCTGTCCTCCTCTGTGGTACACCTTCTGAATCTGTGAGATAAAGGAAGTCTTTCCTCCCCGTAAGTCATTTGTGCCAGGTCCCTGGTCATGATAAAGCCCACACAGTTTCTTTTCTGGTTTCTGCACTGAAGAGGATCCAGTTCCACTTCCCTGGAGCTGGACCTCTGCTCATAGGGCTGTAAGTTATAGATCAAGTGACTGCTCCCAACCAAGCCCACTGACAAACCTTCCTCCCACCTGACCCTCCCCCCCAGACAATTCTAGACCAGGTTCTAGACATTCTAGACATGCAGGATCTCTGTTGTTGTTTGAATCTTAGATGGTCTCTTAATAAAAAAAATAAAATAGAATAAAATGGAAAAACAGAGCCAGATATCAGGGTGAAAGCTGAAAGATCAAAGAAGCAGAACAGCAAGCAAATAGCTCTTACCTCTAAGAAACTCTGAGCTTCAAGAGAGTGAGTTCCTGTTTCCTCATGCCTTATATACCTTTCTCTGTCTGCCCTGCCATATTACTTCCTGGGATTAAAGTCATGTATGCTTCCCAAGCAAAGTCAAGAGATCTCAAGTGCTGGGATTAAAAGTGTATGCCACCACTGCCTGACCTCTATGTCTAATCTAGTGGCTGGCTCTGTCCTCTGATTCTCAGGCAAGTTTATTAGGGTACACAATATATCACCACACTCTGTGCCTTCTGGCCCTGTGCGGGTCTTGTCTCCTGAAGATGGAGCTGTAGCCAGGCCTGCAGTGTCGTTGAGGAATGGCCTCTTACCAGGGAATAGGATGTGGACAAAGCTGGCTGGAGGCTGGGGAAGTGTACAGAGTCAGGAAACCATGAGATGGATGCTGGTTCTTGTCGCAATTTCTTCTTTTTGTCCAGTCTCAGACTCCAACCCTATGACACTGTACAGTCCACACTCAGCATGAATCTTCTCAATTAATCCTCTCTGGGAACATCGGCACAGATATACCCGGAGGTATAGCTGCTAGGTGACTTTAAATCAAACCAAGTTGACAATAAAGATTGATCAGTACTGGAGGGAAGAAACTACAGAAGATGACTGGCTATGGGCCCTGCAGGTAGAGGGCAGGCCTGAGATCCCTCCCTGTCTCACCCCCAGGGACCTCACGTTACCCTCAAGAAGACATCTGATTGCATGAACCTGTACAATGGGGCCCAGGAAGGCTACCTCTCTCTGTACTATGGCCTCAGTGTTTCTCCTTGGTCCCCTCTCACACTTGAATTCTGGACCTACTAAATAATACATCCCTTTAGCAGGTAACACACCACGATTTCTTGCTGGTTCTTTGCCTATTTTTGTCCCGTTACCCAGTAGACACTTAAAGGAGGCACCACAACTTGCCTCTGCTTCTCTCTGCTCCAGGAACTGGACTTGGCGCACAATGTAGATTCTTGGGAGAAAGAGGCAGGGGCAGGCGAGCTGTGTTTCTGCTGATGGGATTGGCTGTGCCTCTGAGAGTAAGCTTGTCTCCACCGGGCAGCTCTTTAAAAAGCTTCGGCGAGGCCTCTGACTCAGCTGAAAAGGAGGTGCACAGCCTAAGTAGCCGGGACTTAGGGCACACACAAGTCCAGGTTGCAGGTCTCTGCAGTGTCGGAAGCTGTGGATAAGGATGCCAAGGTGGGCTTTAGATTAATGTTCAAACACCCAAAGAGCGTCTTCAGAGTTCCCTGTCTACGGGCTTCCACCGTGTCTTTTTCTATCGAGAGAAAATGTGATTCCAGTGTGAACCCAGGTTAATGCATCAGTGGCTATGAGCATCATTTGCATCCTGACTCCACCTCTGACAACCCATCCCATAGATCAGCAAACCTTCTCTGCCCGGGGACCAAAAGTCAACATTTTAGCCTTCAAAAGCATCAGCCTCTCAACGTGACTTTTGCAGCCCTAGAGAGGCCACAGGCAACATGGGAGCAAATGGCTGTGGTTGTGGGCCAATAAATCTTTGTGGATAGGGTGGGTGTGGTTGTGCACATCTTTAATCCCTGGACTCAGGAGAAAGAGGTAGGTGGATCTCTGTGAATTCAAGGCCAGCCTGGTCTACTTAGCAAGTTTGACTTCAGCCAGGGCTATATAGTGAGACTTCGTCTCAAAAAAATAATATTTAAAAATTTATTGACAAAAACAAACAGTAGGCCGAATCGGTCCATAGGCCATAGTTTACCATTTCTTCACATCTGCCATCTTCTTTTAAAAAATGAGAACTATAGTGTGCACCTCACTAGCAGACAGAAAAGTGTTACACGACGTTGTCTTTAACAATAAAATGAACGGAAGCCCTGGAGGCGTGCACATTAGGAACAGCTGATCTCATTGACACAGCACACTTGTTAAGCGCCCGCTATACACTAGGCACGGCGTATTCACGATCCGTATTAGCTAATTTCTCGTGTCTGTGATGAAAGCCACTCAAGGAAGGAGGAGCTTACTTTACCTAGCAGTTGGAGGGTAGAGTCCATTATGGCTGAGGAGGATACACAGCAGGGGCTTGAGGCGGCTGGTCACACTGCATAGTAGTTATGAATCAGAGAGAGATGCTCGCTGCTGCTCAGCTCACTCTTTCCCTTTTTATCCAGCTGAAGACCTCATCCTGTGGTATACATAGAACCACCCACATTTAGAGCGGGTCTTCCTGCTTCCGTTAATGTAATTTTCAAGTCCCTCCCACAGGACTATCCCCTTGGTGAGTCTAGATCTTGCCAAACTGACACCAATATTAACCATCGTACCATCTTACTCAATCCTCACAAAGACCTTGGAAAACAAGAAACTGTTATTCATGGCCCCAGGGAGATGACCCAGTGGCGATGAGTGCTTGTTGCCCTTTAGAAGAACCGGGGTTCAGTTTCCAGCTCCCACGTAGGGTAGCTCACAACTGCCTGTAACTCCAGCTCAAGAGGATCCACTGTCCTCTTCTGGCCTCCAAAGACACCTTGCACTCACATGCACACATGAATACACACACACACATACACACACACACACACACACACACACACACACACACACACACACACATACACACACACACACAGGTACACACACTTTGAAAATCAAATAAACATTAAACTAAAAAGAAAAAAGTGTTACTTACTAAGCCAGGCGATGGCAGCTCACGCCTTTGACCACAACACTCAGGAGGCAGAGGAAGATGAATCTCTGAGTTCAGGGCCAGCCTGGTCTACAGAGTGAGTTTCCAGGACAGCCAGGGATACATGGAGAAATCTTGTCTCGAAAAACAAAACGAAACAAAAAAAGTTAATTACTAACTGATATACAAGGAGTAAACTAAGGCCCAAGAGCTGTGGTCTGGAGGGCCCACAGGAGTCAAGAGACTGACTGAAGTCTCCCAGCAGCTCTTGTATGTAAATGAGCAGCCTCCCAAAAGCAAGTGCAGGCCACATGGAAAGAAGAGAAACAACCGAATATTTGAATACAAACAGATTGGCCCCTGGGTGTTCAGACCACAGGCAGGACCAGATATCTTCTCTTCACCATGTTAGCTTTGGTAGCTGGCGACTCTTTGTTGGAAGAGAGGGGCTTTTCCTGGGCACATGCCCAAATTTAAATCCTAAACAAGGCAAGCTCTCAACAACAGGCTCTGCCAGTGGTGGAGGGAGGATCTTCTCTGCAAGAGATTGCCTGAGTCATACGGCAACCTTCCAGAACTTTCTGGGCCTGCCTAACACCAGGCCTCAGCCCCACAGGGTGGCTGGAGCAGCCAGCACTACTTCATCGTAGAATTTCCTGCCTCTAGGAGGCCAGATTTAGCAATCTGCCCTCCACAGCTGGCCTCACGGTGACACTGGGCTCAGGGAGGCAGGGAACATGGCATCTGCAGGGGTGCTGTGCGGACAGAGATTAGAGAGGGGTTCGGGGGGACAGTGACAGGCAGTGGCTTTCCTGTAAAGTTCATGCCAGGAGGAATGGATTAAGGTAATTGCAGAAATCCCTGGCACTCCATCAGAGTGGTAGTGGGCAATTGCTTTGTCTTGCATGTCACTGGCTTTGGACAGCCTAGGAGAGGTGACCTACCCATGACTTCACTCTAATCCCCAGCCACTCTGCCACCCTGCGAAGGAGAGAGGATCTGAAAAATAAGAGCCTGTAAAGGAGGTGCTCCGACTGTACTTTCAATTTCCGAAGCTTGGATGGAGTTTCCATGCAAGACAAAGCATGGAGTTTCTCCCTGCGAGAGAAAGACAGACAGCTGATTCTCCCAAGGTTTCACATAACTGTGCCTGTGCAATGTGACAGGTGAGACAAATGTCACCTAGTTCAAGTACTGCACAGGGACAGGTGGCGGGCACCCGCTCGCAAGCTCACCTGTCTTTTCTCATCTCTCAGGAACATCAGTTTGCACTCCCCAAGGACACAATGCAGGCAAAGAGAAGGTGCCAGTCTTGGGTCATTCCTTACCGTCTCAACCATACTCTGCACCACCCTGTGCCCCAAACGAAACCAAATGGCAAGAGCCAGACCTTGGTCTCCACCCCACACACAGACGCTGTATATTTGTTTTTCTGTTTTTTGAGATCCCAGGTGACAGATACTGGAATCATTGTGGACAGACTTAGAAAAGAGGTAAACAATCCAAATGGCTGATCTCACCCCTGTCCTTGTCCTCTGTCAAAGCATTCTATTACATGCGCCCAAATAATACTAGATCAATGGACTTTTGTTCCTACCCAGAGAAAATATCATATCTGAAAACTATGACCAGCTATGGAATTTTTGCCATGATGAGCTCTTAGTAAGGCTGCAAAGAAGATGGATGGCCACATGAAGTCTAGAAAGTTTGGTCCAGCTTAGGGCTCGAAGCCTGTTTCCATTCTCTGTCCCATACTAAAAGCTTCCCTATATTGATAACTCAACAGTTTCCTCATTTGTAGGATAGGGAACAAAGCTCTCCATTCAGTACAGTGTGATCATTACGCGGACACGTCCACCAGGCAGTGCGCACATCGTGTGGACACCATCACCATCTCCACTTCATCACCAATTTCACCATCTACCGGGAAGGCATCAGATAGGACATTAGTGAACATTCTCCCGGGAAGCCGATCAATAGAACACATGGGCACTTGCCATTACGAATGATGTAGATCCACAAAGAGAGATTCATTTTAAGGAACTGGTCCACAGAAATATAGAGGTCAGTGAGTGTAAAATACTGAGGACTGACCAGCCAGGTGGAAATTCAGTCAGTCACTCATTCTACTCTGGAGTCCAAAGTCAGTCTGGAGGGAGAATCCCTTCATCTCCGGAAGATCTCTGTATGTATGTGTGTATACATATTTTCTGTTGGTGTACCCACATGTGTATGAGAGTAGGTGTACATGTGTGTGTGTGTGTGTGTGTGTGTGTGTGTGTGTGTGTGTGCATGTGTAGAGGCCAGACAGTAAGTCTTCCTCATTTCTCTCCACTTCATTTTTTTTTTGAGATAAGTTCTCCTACTGAACCTGGAGCTCATGGATTCAGCTAGACTGGCTGGCCGTTGCACTCCAGGGATCTCTCTGTCCCTTCATCCTCTATGCTGGGTCTACAGACTCCGGCCATGGGTCAAACTAAGGTTTCATGCTTGTGCTCATCTGTTATTGGGGTTTGGAATCAAAATGCCCACCACAGCCCCTTGTGTTCGCACACGACGCCAGCTCGTGGCACCGCTTGAGACGGTCATGGAGCCTTTAGGAAGAGCCTTGCTGAAGGAACTGGGTGACTGGGGGTGGACTTGGAGCTTTTACAGTCCTGACTCCCTGTTCAGTCTCTACTTCCAGACCTCTGATGCAATGTAACCCACTGGCCTCCTGCTCCGGCCACCATCCTTTCCCTCCTGTGATGGACCCCTTGGAACTGTAGCCACAATAAACCCTCCCCTCTTTTGTGGTGTGGTCAGATATTTGTCTCACATCAGGAAGGAAAGTAACTAACACACGTGCTTTACTGACTGGGTTGGGTCCCAGCCTTTTTTCCCCCCAAGGCTTTCCACTGCTGATTAGACAAGGCCTGCATGAGATTAGGAAAGGTTTAAAGTCTGCTGACTTAAATGCTGATCCCAGATAATAGACGCTATCGCTGCCACATCTGCACCGGTAATTGACAGAACAGCTGGGCACCATGGCCTTGAGAAGATGACACACGAAATTAACCTTCTCTGACTTTGGGGAAAGCCTGGCTTGCCAAGACAGTGAGTGCTGAGTAAGTCTTAAATTAACTACACTATTAAAACCAGCCCAATAGGCTGACGAGGTGGCTTAGAGGGTAAAGGCGCTTGTCGCCAAGCCTGAGGACTTGAGTTCTAGCCCCAGAACTCACATAGCAAACAAGGAAACCAAAACTTTTCTCTGACCTCCACTGGTGCACCATGGTATCATACAACCCTACACACACACACACACACACACACACACACACACACACACACACACACACACATACACACACACACAAAAATAAATAAATTAAATATTAAAAAATATCCCTCCATCAGTCACTGGACAAAGGCTCTGATGATAGGGTATCTGGTGCCTGTGGTGTGAAGCCTTGCACAGCCTTGGTGCAGTGGGGAGGGGCTTGGACCTGCCTAGGCTCAGTGTGCCAGGCTCTGCTGACTCCCCATGGGAGACCTTGATTTGGGGGATGTGGGGATGTGGGGTGGCTTGGGAGGAAGGGCTGGGAGGTGGGAGGAGGGAAGAGGTGGGATCTGTGGGTGGTATGTAGAGAGAGTAGAAAATTTCTTAATAAAGAAAAAATCCCAAAGATAATTTAAATCAAAAAAAAAATTAATCAAACAAACAAAAAGCCTACCACCACCATAAAAAGTGCAAGCACTTGCTTAGCTCCTCAGAAACTGCCAGAGTCCCAAGGAAGAGGCTTGATGGAAACGTTCCCTGCTAGAAACTGGAATCCCCAGTTCAAATCCCAGCTGTTCTTCTGTTAGTGTGTGGCTTTCAGCAGATCATGGAGTGTCACAAGCCTCCTCAGTTACAACTCACAGTAAGTGTGTCTGCCCTTGGGTAGCACGGAGGAAATATGAGGGTCGCACACGGCCCTTTGATGAAGGGCCTTTAGAGTAAACTTGGGAGCATCGTCACAAAAGGCATTATCCTGAGGCACACAATGCTTTGCACAGATTGAATTCGATTACTCCTACCAAAGCAAAGAGAAGGAGTCTCCACTCTGCCTTAAGTTTGACCTTACCCTGATCGCACAACCATTAATGTTTTCAATTAGAATTAATTTCCGAGCCTGCTTGGGATTTAGAATGGCTTTTTAAGATGTGAATTAAAGAACTGAGATGTCAGAACACTAATCCTTTCTCTCCCCCTGTATCAATAAAATTCCACATTGAAAGCATTCTGTTCCATTTGCACAGGGCTCAGCCCAGCAGGCCCAGCTAATATTTGTTGTAAATAATTCATCTGTTACAGAAATATCCATGGAGCCCTTGCCACACATGGGGTATTGCTCCAGCCATCGAAGGAAAGGTTGGTGGTGGTGGTGGTGGGTGGAACGTGAAGTGTGTCTGCATAGGTGGAGTCTCGCTAGAGGAAATGTGTCACCTGGGGCAGAGTTGGTTAACATAGTTCCACTTGGTCTCTCTCTGCTTCCTGACTGTGGGTACAAGGGTGAACAGCCTGCCTCCAGCTCAAGTTGCTGTGCCTCTCCCATCGTAATAGAATGAGGCCCCCAAACCATGAGCCAGAATAGATCCTTCTCCTTTTTCATTTTTATTTTTATTTTTATTTTTATTTTTGAGGTTATTACAGCAGCAACAACAAAAGTGACTAACACAGCGAGGACTTTCAGCTCTGAACCTGATCATGAGACAGGAGGTATGCAACAGAATATGGTCACACTATTGAGCAACCAACGTTTGGCTAGGTGTTCAGGTCTCCCATGACTTGGGAGACAGAGGCAGGAAGATCTCCGTAGGTTTGAGACCAGTCTGGTCCTCGTAGTCAGTTCCAGCACAGCCAGAGCTACCTAGAGAGAGACTCTCATAAAACGAAATAAAAGAGACAAACAAAAAAGTAACCACTTTTTTGTTGTTGTTGCTGCTGTTTATTGATTTATTTTTGCATGTTATACAGATAGACCCTGGGATGATCCAGACAGAATAGAAATAGTGGGGGAAATACTGACTTACAAAAAGAAGTGCATGTGCTTGAAAAATATGAAAACGAAGAAACAGAAGCCCCACCTTGCACCTTGTCTTCTTGACCCCTGCTAAATTTCATAGAAAATCACCTATTTGTTCTCCTGTAACAAGGCATCAATTGGAAACTACACAGTACAATAAATAAACCAAAGAGTGTATATAACAAATACCAAAGACCAGAATCAGTATTCAGGTCTGTTGGTTTAGTATTGTGGCTCAGCAATCTGCCCCTTTTGTTGAAAATAGATTTTTTTCCTTACATAAAATAACCTGATTATGGTTTCCCCTCCTTCTACTCTTTCCTGTCCCCTGCCCCAACCTAATCTGGATCCACTCCCTTTCTGTCTCTCATTAAAAAACAAACAGGTTCCTAAGGGGTAATAATAAAATAGGATAAAACGAAACTAGCACATTGGAATTAGACAAAACAAACAGACGGAAAAGAGCCCAAGAGAAGGCACAAGAAACAGAGAGCCACTCATGCACACACAGGAGTCCCGTAAAACACTAAATGGAAGCCATGCTGTATACGCAAAGGACCTGGTGCAAACCCATGAAGGTCCTGTGCATGCTGCTTCAGTCTCTGTGAGTTCAGATGTGCATCTATCATATTGATTTAGAGGGTCTTGCTTTCTCGGTGTCCTCCATAACCTCTGGCTCTTACACTCTTTCTGCATCCTCTTCCACAGGATTCCCTGATCCCTGAGGGTAAGGGATTTGATGGAGACATTCCACTTAGGGCTGAGTGTTCTAAGGTCTCTCATTCTCTGAATAATGTATGGCTACGGGTATCTGTATTTGTTCCTGTCTGCTGCAAGAGGAGCATCCTCTAATGATGGCACACACCTATGGACACCTGACTTTTGATAGAGAAGCCAGAAATACACAGAAAAAAGACAGCATCTTCAACAAATGGTGCTGGTCAAACTACATGGCTGCATGTAGAAGAAAGCAAATAGATTTATACTTATCACCCTGCACAAAACTCAACTCCAAAGGTATCAAAGACCTCAACATAAAACTAGACACACTGAGCCTGACAGAAGAGAAAGTGGGGAGTAGCTTTGAACTCGTTGGCACAGAAGGCTTTCTGAACAGAGCATCATTAACACAGGCACTAAGATCAACAATAAATGGGACCTTATGAAACTGAGAAGCTTCTATATGGCAAAGGACACCATCATTCAGACACTGCAGCAACCTATAGAATGGCAAAAGATTTTTTTACCAACTACACATCTGATAGAGGGCTAATATCCAAAATATATAAAGAACTCAAAAAATTGAACATCAAGAAAACAAATAATTTTTATCATGAAGGGATGTTGAATTTTTGTCAAAGGCCTTTTCTGCATCTAATGAAATTATCATGTGGTTTTTGTCTTTCAGTTTATTTATATGGTGGATTACGTTTATCAATTTATGTATGTTGAACCATCCCTGCATCTCCGGGATAAAGCCTACTTCATCATGGTGAACGATCTTTTTGATGTGTTCTTGGATTCAGTTTGCAAGCATTTTATTGAGAATTTTTTAATCTATGTTCATAAGGAAAACTGGTCTGTAATCTTTCTTGTTCAGTCTTTGTGTGGTTTGGGTATTGGGGTAACTGTGGCCTTGTAAAGTGAATTGGGCAATAATCCATTTCTTCTATCGTATCTTCAATGCCTGAGATTCTCTCTTCCATCACATATATTCTGTTGGTGAGAATTGCCCCGTAGGTTGCTGTTAGAGTTCCTAAATTTTTCATTTCCAGATTTTCCTCAGTTTAGGTTTCTTTTATTGATTTTATTCCCACTTTCAGGTTAAACGGTTTTATTCATTTTCTTCAATTGTTTGTGTTTTCATAGATTTCTTAAGGAATTTATTCATTTCTTCTTTAAGGACCTCTATCATATTATAAAGGTTATTTTAAGGTCTTTTTTCTTGTGCTTCAGCTATGTTGGAATACTCAAGGGCCTGCTATGGTAGCTTCGAATAGAGACATATTGTCCTTATCAATTGTGTTTTTATGCTAGTGTCTAGGCATCTGGCTTTGGAAAGACTGCAATTCTAGATGCTGATATCTAGTCTTGCCTTTGTTGGGTGGGTATTTTGTTCCTTGGTTTCTGCTGCCCTATCTGGTTCTTGGGAAAGTGTGGTGGCTGTGTTGTTGTCTGGCAGGAAGTTCTTCTGGGATCCTAATGGGTGTGA